GCCCAAAACCCCAAAACCCCAAAACCCCTCTTTACTGGAATAATGCTTTTTAGATCTGAAAATAATAATAATCAATATATTTGAAAATGAATAAAACATTACTTAGCTAGATCTAGTTCAAATATCATCCACATAATCTGCCTCAATCAATTAGGAGCAGCGATGTGATAAATAAGGATAGCATCCTTAAGAGGAATACAGTTAAAATTTTGACATATAATATGTACATGAGACCACCTCCTGTTAAGACAAATGAGTCAGATCACAAGGATGCAAGACTGGAGGAATTTGTGAAGCAACTCGATAACTACGATATCATTTGCTGTTAAGAAGTGTTTTATACTCTAAATTCAAGGAAATAAAGATTGATTACCTATGCCTAGAAGGCTGGATTTATGTATCATACAGTATCTGACCCACCATCATTCTTTTCAGGTTATGCTACAGATGGGGGCCTTATAATACTCTCAAGATTTCCAATTGTAGAATCATCTTTCGGGCCATTTCCATATGGGGTGTTAAGCGATAGTCTTTCATACAAGGGGGTACTTTACGCTAAAATATTAGTTGCTTAAGACAGAGCATTGCACATCTTTAACACTCACACTTAGGCAAGCTACTATGGAGTAGATCTTGATAACTTTGTAATTTAATTCACAATTAACATTGCTATAGTTAGCAACATTTGAAACAAGGTATTTCTAACTTAAATGTGCAAGGAAATTCTTAGAAGAAAAAACTTAGAATGCTCATGAAAATGATTTGATTATATTTGCTGGGGATTTTAATGCCAATGGATAGAAAGACAATGTTAAAGCTAAAGAATTTAGAGAATAGGTAAAGCATAGACCTCAATTTGATGAGTTACTTGATGAACTAGAAAATGAATATGGAGCAATGATTGAAATTTTATCAGGACACGGATAGGATGAAATTGTTGACTGTGTAAAGTTAGCATGCAATGGTGAAAGCCCAATAACATATGGTGATGTTGAAACTGATTACTAAGGCAATATCATTGCTCTAGAAACAGTTCTAACTGACGCAGAAGACTTAAAAACAACTCAGAGTCTTGATTACATATTCCAATTCAAAAGAAAAGCTCAACAGGATAGATTAAATTTACGAATCAAGGAGTTCCATCAGAAAAATATCTTATTGCTTGATAATTCTAAGGAAGAAGACGAGAAAAGTAAACAAATTACAGAACAAAAAACTAGAGAGAATTCCGCTTTTAACTCAGCCGAAGTTAAGGCTTTTCTTGGGCCAAGACTTGAGATTAAAGTGGAATCAACTATAGTTGAAAAGTTTTTTGTTGAAGGACACAAATTCACATAGCTCAGTGATCATTATGGAATCTCAACTGAACTTGAAGTACTGTGATAAAATATATCAAGAGCAGCAATCAAATCTAATTTTATTTAAGTTTTAAAACATCTTATTCCCCTCTATATATACCTTTAGGGGTTTTGGGGTTTTGGGGTTTTGGGG